GCATTTATTAAGGAAAAGTTCAACTGAGACACACCTTTGCTATAATTGTGAGCAAACAAACAATTGTTTTTATGTGTTAATCTTGTTAAATTCTTGTTAAAGTCCTCCCGTGCACACTCCCGCGGCCGCCATTTGGCAGCCAAACGATTTTTGGCACAACACTGGCCCACGTTTCCGAATTGTCAGTGGTGACGCGTAACAAACGCGACGCGTCAGCGGTGACACATAATAGATGCGTCTTATACGGTGAAGCGATGTATTTATGTTTTTCTCCACTTCATTAGACATATGTGGACTGATGTGACTTATACGGCGGTGTGACGTGTACGGTGGCAAGTACAGAAATCCCATATCTTGTTTCCCCTCTGTCACCGGATAAAAGTTCTGTTTTTGCACTTTTTACAATTTTCAATCAGCAATTTCTGTATTATTTCTGATATAATATTTAAATAAATATGTTTGCCTTGAATATGCATATTCTTGTATTAATCTTATACCTGTTGTGTTTTTATTGATGCAAATACGCAAAGTTTCCCACTGAGGGACAAATGTAAAAAAGTTCTATTTTATTCTAATTTATTTTAAATAGCTCATCTTTATGGATACATTTTTTTGTAGCTGTTGGACAAAACAAAAACTATAAAAGCTTTGTTTAAAAAAGTGATTACCAGGTTTTCCCAAAGGGAAGCACCAGAACCCAGTTAAAGGTACTGACTATGATCCTCAAGGCTCAATGGGATTTACCTGCTTAAATAAAGGTTGAATGAAAAAAAGATGAAGACCGGAAAAATAATTAATTTATTAATAATTTTGCGGATTCAGTCTTTTGTTTCCACCGAAACATCTTTTCCAAGAGTCTATACTTGTCTGGTTCCACCACATTTATTTACCTACAGACTAGAGCCAGTCTAATAAAGGTTTTTAAACTGCTCGATTAGATAGGGCCTTGCTCAAGGGCTCAGAGTGGGGCAAATGAGCGTGGAGGTAGGTGTGGGTGTTTCATCTAACCCACCCACAGTTTCATGTTATCGGTACTGGGAGTTGAAGCGGCAATCTTCCAATCACAGGCCCACCTTCTGTAACCTCTGCGCCACCACTCCCACTTGGACATATTGAATACACATAAATGATTCTGAAAACCTGATTTAATTTAACTTTTTTATAGAGGGAAATAATTGTTTAGTTGAAGTAATAAATATACATCTAAAAAAAAAAAAAACCTAGTTAAGTTGGTAATAACATGAAATATCGTATTTTCCGCCGTACACGTCACAACGCCGTACCAGTCACATCAGTCCAAATATGTGTAATAAAGTGAAAAAAAAACATAAATAAGTTGCTTCGTCGTATAAGTCGCATCTATTACGCGTCACCGCTGACAACCCGGTGTGGGCCGGTGTTGTGCCAAAAATCAATTGGCTGCTAAATGGCGGCCGCGGGAGCGTGCACGGGAGGACTTTAACAAGAATTTAACCAGATTAACGCTTAAAAAACAATTATTTGTTTGCTCGACTTTATAGCAAAAGGTGTGTCTCAGTTGAACTTTTATTTAATAAATGCACTTCAAAGGTCAAATTTGCTGCATTTCACCGGGGCGGTGCGGCGAAATGAAGCTGATTTGCCAGTTGCTCCAGAATGATCCTGCAGCTGGACGAAGGTGGCTTAATATGGCAAGCCAATTGCGTCATTAATAGCCACTTTTACCTATTACATGATGCAACGGCATGCCATACTACCCCAGTGCCATGTAGAGGCTGAAAATGGTAGTGTTTAATATTTTCAATGTCAGAATTAATGAACACGGTCATATCTCGGTCAAAAATTGGTTTATAAATATGAGGAAAAACATAAATAAGTCGCTTCGGTGTATACGTGACAGGGCATGTAAATTATCAAAAAAACTGCAACTTATAGGTTGGAAAATACGGTAATTGATCCTTTAATAAAATTCTGACTGATTCTGCCTTTGGAGTGATTCATCACAATAAACTAAGTTTTTCTGAAAGATAAAATGAAACCGAAAAGCTAGTAAGTCGACGGTGTCAGCAGTGCCCTCTTACTGCTAACACACTGCCCCTTCCAGAGGTATTAAGCCCTCATTAGTGACTCCAAGCTGCTGTAGGATCTTATTATCTAGTGGTCAGGGGAGGGGGGTGGTCAGAGGGGTGGGACTGCGAGACCAAAGAGAGCTGAGGTGGATGTTACGGTGGGGGGATGCCAGCTAATGTACAAGCCTGCTGGAGGCGAAGGGGGGGTTTTAATTACAGGATGCGTGCATTTTGTGAAGTGCCTTGCCATAAATCTTAGAAATTACCCATCCCCCCACCCATGTTGCTTTATTTGCTCCCTATTCCTCTCAGTCTCTCTGTCTTAATCACACCAATAAATATTTGCCTTGTGGGAGCCCTTTAACCTCTCCGTCACATACACAAGCTGCCATGACAGAGCATATTCTTCTATTATTCCTGTTTGCGCAATGAATGGAAGAGTGGAGGGTTGCTGCAAACAAAAACCTTGTTAAAGCTGTGATTCTCACATGGTGGTTCACTATCAACAGCATAAAAAAAAAGAAGACTAAAAACTGAAACCGCGAGGCGCCGAGTCGATTGGCGTCGCGGTTTCCCTGTTCACTTGAGGAGCTAATAGTGAAGTGTGAACTGTGTTAACACACTCAAAGGATCTGTCTTACTCATGGATATCCAGTTTCCAGTCAGTGTTTACACACTCGGGCACAGTGCCCTCCTTTGTAACTGCAAACATGTGACCCACATCCAAATTACTCTAGTTGTTCAGAATCAACCCAAACATCTAGTTTCATTTGTAGAGATCTGGATGTGGCACCAGCCTGTTTATTGTGCAACTCCCCAACAAAGCATGATTTTAATCTAAAACTCTTGACATGAACGGTGGTGGGCACTATGCATCTCTTCCAGGAATGCTAAGCCTTTCATTGAGGTGTGTTTTTGGAGAAAGGAAAGGTGCTGTTAAACAAACATCTTTAATTATTATGTTATAAAAGTGTGCGTGACCCAAACCGTGACTGAACAGTCTTGCTGTGAACGTCACCGTTGCATCAGGATTTTTACTGAAACTTTCTTACTTTTGGACATTTGTTATGATGCGTAATCATAAAAACAAAGTAGTTTTTTTTTTTTTTTTAACAACCGGGAGCAGCTGATTAACATATCTCAAAAGCTCAAATAATAGTCCCAAATGTCAAATGAATTGAAAAAGGAGGTGCCGTAGATGCATTCCCGTCTACCTGCCAGCTGTGCCATGAGTGCCTGATCAATGAGATCCTGGAACTGTCAGGAAGCATGGCTCATGACAGCAAGGACGGGGATCTTCTTCAGTGACAAAGAGCTCAACAGGCTGCTGGGAGGACTGGCCATCGCTCAAGGAGGAGTTCTTCTTGGGATACGGGTGGTCCTGCAGCCCAGGGGAACCGAGAGGCCAGCCAAGTCTGGGCGGACAGATTGGATGGCATCTGCGGCCATTTTCTTCAGATCCACTGTAGGATGGACCTTTACAAGAGATCCTTCCTGCCTACAGCCATCAGTATCTATAACATCTCTTAATGAAATGAGGATGAGCTACAGCAACATTTAATTTCCCTTTGGGATTAATAAAGTATTTTTTAATTGAATTGAAATGAATTCCAATCCAAAATATGAACATTAGATCAACATTTGATTCTAAACTGAGAGTTTTATTGGCCATCTCCACATTGGCCATGTGATAAACTAGTAAAGCCACCAGTAACTCAATAAAGCAGCTTTGGAAAATAACTCCAAACAAAAAAGAGCAAATGAGAAATTACCTTGAAGAGGTTAAACATTTTTATTTACCAGCCAAGTCTCAGCATTTCAGTCCTCTCACATTAAATATACCTCCTCCAACCACCGTGTTTATTCACGAAACAAATCTATCGTTACTGCGAAGTCTTAAAATAACAGGGTTATACCTCGGTGGAGAAGGGTGTAAATAGGAAGTCTTATTATTCTTAGGAAATCTTAATCAAGCAGCTCATGTAAATGTGAGAAACAGGGCGTGTCAAGCAGCTGCACGCTCCGAGCCGTAGATCATGTTCGACACGTCCACCTGCAGCTCGGACACGAGCCGTCGATGGAGCTGAAGACGGTGGCGTCTCTGCTGCAGGAACATAAGCAGAGCTCGAAACTAAAGGCAGCCAACCAGGATGCTGTCCGACTGGCAAGACCACTACCACACCCCACCCCTCACTATACACCATTGTTCGTCTCACATATATATTTTCTCAGTTCCTCTGACCTCTCTGTATCTGTTTTCTTCTGGCTTTTCTTTCACTCTTCACTTTTTCCCCTCTGTCAGTCCCACAAACACAATCCTTGTAACTCCCCTGCCGCCTACCAACACACACACACATACACACACACACACTGACTTATCAGGCTCATGAGGGTGTGGTCGCTATAGGTTTTTCAAATCTATAGTAGGAATGGGAGCCCCTGCTCTTGGCTTAAGCTCCACCAGTCAGATAAACAATAAGAAACTAGATAAACGACAAGAAAACTGGGCCAACTGGTAAAGCAGGGTTCACACACCTTGACCAAATCCTCCGCAACGAAAAACTTCCCGACAGGCAGATAAAGATTTCTAATCATATGATTCGGTGAGAAGTTTTATGGATCTATAAGTTTTATAGATCCGCTTGTGAAAGTCAACTCACAAAGAGCAGTTTTTTTTTTTGTTATTTTTGTTATGCACACCAATGAAGACAGATTTCTCAACGTCAGATAAATAATCGAGTGTTGTCTGATAGTTTCGGAGCGTATATGTAGGTCAGCGACAGAATGTCTGCAGAAAATTATAAACAGGCCTTATACTGCAAATAATCAGTAACCAAAGAGCAGCCTTTTTTTTACAGCCTCACAGTCAGAGGCGGCGGTAGCAGAATGTAATATGTGTGTTTGTGTTTGGGGGAAGGGTCACTCAACCATTAATGCAAATGGCTGTCAGTCGTGCTGGCACACCAGTGTCACGTAACGCACAATAGAGCCTTTGCAACTAAAAACCAAAAACCGAGAAGACCGGGGTATCACCTCCATGCTCCTTACACCTGCCAATCACCTTTTGTTAAGGCTGACAGACACAAACTTGTACACACATGTACAAAAACAGCCATAACTCAGGCTCTGCTTCTGCTCTACGTCTGCATGACTTCTTATCTTTCTTTCTTTTTAAAACGTCTGACCTAAAGAAAAACTTTGAAACTAATTTATCTTGTAGATAAATTTAAGATCATGGTCAAGTTCAGTTTGATGTAGAATTAAAAAGGTACTCATTGCAAAAAAAGGTTTTCCTGAGATATCGTATTTTTCGCTGTACAAGTCGCAGTTTTTTGCATTAATTAGTATTCCTGCGACTTATACAGCATAGTGACGCATTTATGTTTTTTCCCTCCATATATAAAACCAAACTTTTGGCTGAGATCTGACGATTTCATTCATTCTGACATGGAAATTTTTGAACACTACCATTTTCAGCCACTAGAGGGCCCTCGACTAATGTGGCAAGCCAAGTGTCTCATTAATAGCCAAAAGTGGCTATTAAAGAGACACTTGGCTTGCCATACAAAGCCACCTTCGTCTTGCTCCACTTTGGTGGCACAATCACTTTGGTAACAGTTTCTGTTTTAAATGTGCTCTATAAATAAATCTGACTTGACTTGCTCCAGAACTCCTGGCGCGAACGTCAAATTAGCTGCATTTCGTTGCGCCGCCTAGGCAAAATGCAGCTAATTTGACCGTCATAGTGCATTTATTAGGGGAAAGTTCAACTGAGACACACCTTTGCTATAATTTCAAGCAAACAAATAAATGTTTTTAAGTATTAATCTTGTTAAAGTCCTCCCGTGCACGCTCCCGCGGCCACCATTTGGCAGCCAATCGATTTTTGGCACACATTTCCGGGTTGTCAGTGGTGACTCATAATAGATGAAACTTACAACGGCGAAACGACTTATTTAAGTTTTTTTTTCCACTTTATTAGACACATTTGGACTGATGTGACTTAGACGGCGGTGCGATGTGTACGGCGGCAAATACGGTCCATAAAATGGTGACGTTTGAAAGAGTTTACTCCAGTAATTTTCCTGATGCAATTCTGAAATGCGGGTACACACTCAATGTAAACAAAGCACTTGGCTGAATTTGTTGAAAACCATGTGGAAGCTTGAGTCACATGACCTATATTACACAGGCTGTGCAGATAAACAAATGTGGTCGTGAGTTTAACGGTTGATCTGTTTTCAGTCACTTTGGCGCTTTCCGTGGGAAAACAAACACGTGTGATGTTTACCGTTCGGTCACAACTGTTTCGTTTAACGACACGATCATCCATCAATGTGGGAAAATATTGTGCAGATTCAGTTACTTGCATCACATTTTTTTTATCCTGTTTTTACAATTTTGCAATGTGCACCTTTAAGAGGATTACAAAGTGAGATAAGTTTCCCTGAAATCTTAAAAAAAAAACTTGTGACCAACTGGAGTTGTTTGGTTTGTGACTGTAAGAAGCTACGGCAGCGAACACACCTTAAATAGGATTACGAGCGATTTTGTAACTACAGGGTGATAACTTCTGGGTGTGTTTTATCCTCTGGTGTGTGATTTTAAGTTAATGGAAATGTTTACAATGTTTCTGTTGCTGGAAACGCGTAGCTCAAATCCTCTTTTTACCTAATGCAGAGGGCGCAGGTTCACAACAACAATTAATCCAAGGCCTTCAGATGATTTCTTTCTCATGAAAGAGATTAGTACGAACTTGTTTTTTTCTTATTGCCTTGCCTGACTGGAATGGGAAAAATGCCGCTGCCTCTTGTGGTTGTGTTTAAGCACGACTAAACCAGATTAACTCTGTGATAGATGACGATGAGAGGTGGACTGTCTCCTTCCTATAGATCATTTGTGAGCATAACAAGGAGAAAAATACCCTGAAATGTACCGGGGGGGGGGGGGGGGGGGGGGAAGGGTATTTATAGGGGGGGGGGGGCGCAAAGAACACACAACAACAGTAAGTACAACTCAAAACACTGCTGGTTACACCAGGTGAATTT